GAGACCAATTTGTTGGAGGAGAGGAAAGAAAGAAGAGACATAAACCAGCGTATCTGACAGTGACTAAGCAAGGAAAATCTTTTTCAAAGATCGGAGAGGATGCTCTATGCGCGATGCTGCCCATATCTGACTACTACTGTGTTCATGCCATAACTTGGTACCAAAAGAGAAGTTAGTTTTTTGATCTGTGATTGTGAAAGGTGTCAGACCCTTAGTGAGTTTTATAGGAAAAAACGTTAATTTTGGCTAAACTTGCCAAACTATCTTATCAAATGCATTAATTCAGTGATTTATTAGTCCTGCAGAAGGTACTGCCTCTTTGTATCACGCGATTGCTTTTTGCAGCACAGACATCTCTGTATGTCACACCACTAATGTTCTTACTGCCAGCTTTGTGAGCATGTAAAGTTGAAAGTCATGGGTTTTTTCCTTTTTTCTCCTGCATGAGCATTGCTGTTAAAGCATTTTTTTCTTAATGTAAATGTTGAAATATTGAAAACATGATGAATGTAAAAACGTTTAGTAATACTCTCTTTTATGGTATAAATAGAAATCCTGCTGTAGTGTTTTTGTCAGTTGATATGAGCATGAAGTATGATAGTCCATTCTTTTACTCATTTTCAGAAGGAAAATTTGATGTACAGAGCAAAGTGATTTTGTTTTTCTCCAAGCCTGCATGCTGAGTAAGGGCTGATAGGGTCCAGTTCATGTCCGTTAGGGTCCGTTGTGAAGAATCTATTGGGAAATGGCCAAGGAAAGAACTGAAGAAGTCATAACACGCTTATTTACGTAGGGTGACTTAAAAAGAGTATTTAAAAGATGATTTTCTTGTAGACTCTCCTGTAATATTTATCTTAAGAAAAGCCTGAAGAGAACAAATTGAACACTTTGTTGCTCACAGAAGTTAAATTGTAGGTGTGACTTGGAAAAGAATGGTTTCTATGAGATGTCTTAACTTCTTGGTTAAATTGTGTTTGTGCAGGGCTGTTAGTAGGTTTTCTATTTGAAATTGCATTGAAACATTAACATAACCATGTTGCAGAGAATATGTTAGTATGGTGAGTAGAAACTCTGTAAATTTTGGACAAATGTCATTATAGGAAACTTAAGTGGGAGATTATACCTTTTCAGTTTAGAAACCTCTTGTTATGAGTAAGACCTTTTGTCACACTTTGCAGTGTGCAATGTGATTGTGACTCCAGATGTTAATCAAGAAGTAATTTAAGTAGTGAATTCTAGAGCTTGCAAAGACAGTCCCTATTTCACACCTGTCCTTTTTAGTATAATCGAGCTTCAGAACAAAGCTAAACAAATGAAAGTGAGTAGCCAGGATCCATTTTGGGGTTTTATTATTTTTCCAGGCCTCATGATTTTCTATTTCAAAATAAAGACACTTTGCTGCCTGTGGTATTTTGAGGATTTTTTTCTTGATTCTTAAGTGTCATGCTATAACAGCAGGTCTAGAAGTTGTCTGGGAAGAGCACGGATATTTGTGTGCGTGAAAGAAACAGTAAAATTTTAAACCAGAAATTACTGCTACTCTATCTGAGCATTTGAAGGAAGCTACATCTGAGTGAATCGTAACACTGAAACTGAGGATATGTTTGTGTTTGGCTGAGGGTACTGAGCACAGACTAAAGAAAGAAAAATACAGGTCAGGCTGGGAATAGAGAGCAGAGCTTATGACAAAACCAACACGGAGCCACCAAATAAGTAACTGGGTGCATAGGATCTGTAAGACCTTGAGCAGACTCTGAGATCCACTCTTTACCCTTAGCTTCTCACAAACCACTATGTATCTTTACCACAGGTAGTTGAAATTACTATATATTTTACAATTGTGATTATAAAGATCTGAATCTGAGGATCCTTGTGCTAGAACAAGGAACAAATAGTTCAGGTTAGTTAGTTCTAGTAAGAGGAGGATTGAATAAAATTTGGAGGAAGGTCGGAAAAAGCTTTTTTGGTACACAGGTTCTTTAAATGATTTTTAATTGTCTGGAAAATGAAAGCTTACTAATTCTGTTTAACAGAAGCAGCCAGAAATGAGTCAGATGACAGCGAATTGTGGCAATACTAAAGAAGCATTTTAGGGGTTTATGGGTTAGAGCTACTGGTATGAGTGCAATGTACCCAAAAGATGCCTGAATGGGCAGTGTCAAAAGACTACTGTTATTTAAAAAAAAAAAAAAAAAGAAGAAATGTAGTAGCAAAGATGTAAAAGTGTGATAAAGGACATGGTGGCTGTGCTGATCAGATATGCAGGACTACACCAGAGGTCATCCCTCCTCCTTTTGGAAACTGTATAACCCTGTGCTTGATATCTCTCTTAACAGCCACTGCAAGGAGGGTTTTTAAAGAAAAAAAAAAAAAAAAAGCCCAGTTATCAATGTTCTTGTGCTGTTTTGCAACATCCTTAAGCTCTCTACATTTTAAATAAGACTGAAACACAAAGGATTTCAAAGGCTGGGATTTCCAAGCAGCCCTGCAGAAAATTACATCAAGTTTGTTTGTATGCTGTTTAACATTGGTCTACAGATTTAAACCCCAAGGATCCACTTATTTGGGATGCTTAGAGGCATCTTAAATTTAGTTGATTATGTTGAATAATCTGCAGTCTGAGTTCTTAAAACAGTTAAGTTACTTGGCCCACATTGAATTTTAGGGTTTTAATATTCATGATTAATTCAGAATATGTTTTTATACCAGCTGTGTTAATTTAGTGAAAGTTAGGAGGTAACTATTTTCTAGTAGCTTGACTGAAGTAAGGACGCTTGAAGACTTACTTTGTATATGTCTGTGTTTTCTTCAGAGAACTAATTGCTGCAATATGTTAAGGGATAGCTTTTTCCTAAACAGAGAATATAAGCAATTTGAATAATAACACTTTGAAAAAAAAATTCTAAAAAGTTTTTTTGAAAGTTTTTTTCATTTTTTCTGCCACTCACAATAAAGTCCAGGGTAGGAGTTAATTACCATAGGAAGGCCTGGGTATCCACTTTGTTTTAAACTTAATATAGGTGGCACTCCAACCCATAAGAGTTTTATCACAGTATAGTTCTTTTTTATATAGAAATCAATGTACAAAAATTTTTAATAGTATATTACTATATGTGCTTCATGGTTAAGTACTAGAGTTTAAAATCTAACAGCGCACTTTCTATATGAAATTACTTGCGGCCTGGCTGGCTGACAGAATCCTTCCTTTAAATACTAGGAAAATATAGGCACTCTTTGATACTAAATTGAATACTTGCATTTTAAAAGGAAGGGATTAGATGATATCCTTTGTGTGAGTGAATCATACCTTTTCTTTACAAATTCTGTGGGGGAAATGTGGCGGCTCTTTCACTCTTGGTCATTGGAAGGCTAAGAAGTGACAAGCTGCATTGATGTGCATTTACAGAAATGGATGTCAGACAAGAAGAGGATTACTGGTCACTAATGTTTATTTATGGTACCTTTGCTGGTATTTTTCTTGCAACATGTTTCACATGCTTCTTGCTTAGACTTCTCTTTTATATTTCTTCAGAAGTTAAGCCTTAAAGATAAGACACACAGAAAGTTTAGTTGAACGTTCAACTCTGCAGGCTGGACTTAGAGTTGTTTCATCAGCCAGTAAAGGAAGGCAAACTCCATGGCCAGATACTATTTCAGATCCCAGGGCAGTTCTTTCTTCATAATGACATATGAAAAGCTAATTATATTCTATGCTGCTTTTCCCTTGTTTCTGTCAGTTAAGGGAGACATGATGCACCCTTTCAGACAAACTTCCTCTTCCTGCTGATCTGTGTACTAGGAATTTCTTCTCCTTTGCTGGTTTGCTGATTTATGTTGTCATACTCCAGAATGTATGTTTTATGTGGTGAATCCCATCTTGCTAAAATTCTTAGGAAACCTGTGATTTTGAGAGCAAAGGTTTAATTTAGTTCTTAACAGCCAGTGATGAGGATGAACTTGTGAGGTGCAGTTCAACCTGTACAGGATTCAGTAATTTACTTTGGGGTACTTCCCATTCTTGACCATTACAGAGATGTTGATGGGCTTAGAAGACTTCTCATCTGCTCCAGTATGGAATATTTAACTTCCATTATTTATTAATCGGGCCTAGTCAGTCTGAGATTTTGTAATTTATAATTATAAAACAACTAGAGACACATTGAAGGTTAGATGACAAGGAGTGTAGTTTAAAATATTCATGAACTTGAGTTAAAAAAAAAAAAATCACTACTAAATATGCTGTCAGTAATTGGCTATCCAAAGTACAGTTGCCATTAGATAGTCTCTAGTGATAGAAGCTTTTTTATTCCCAGTACTTTGAAAAGGGTAGTATTTGCCAATGAGATTCTAATCTCACTTGCAAATGCTTCATTTTACAAAAATGGTCCTTTACATGGTATGCTTTGGGAATGTTCTTTGTGTAAAGGACTTTTTTGCCATAAGGCATTTTAACTCAGCTTTCTTGATTAGCTAAGGTTTACATTCTGTGTAGTTTACTTGTGTATTTGTGATGGGGTATGTTGTGTTCATCTTGTGTATTTTAGTTCTCTTTGTTTTTACTGTTATTAGTCTTTAAATAGTCCTCTAATTGCACTTTATGGAAAGATGCAGCAATTACTAACATCAAAGTGCATGCAGCAACCTGAAGATTAGAGTGTACAATACCATCACGAACCTTTTTTGGATCGTATGTTGCCAGAAAAGAGGTGTCAACTTTATTAGATATTTATAGTAGCAACCCAAAAATGTGTCAGGTATAGTTACCAATGTTCAGTGTGGTTTTTATATAGTCTTTCAGACCAGTATAAGAGCTTTCATAAACAAGGAAAATTAACCTGACGTTTCAAAAAAAAAATCTCCAAAATGATACATGTAAATTAAATCTTGAGGAGTTTGGGGTAAAACCTCTTATGAAAAGGGTTACAATTAAATGTTTTATGCAACATGTATGGCCTTCATTCTTTCTATGATGGTAATTTTTTTTTTTACTACTTCTACAGGTTCAGTTCATGCCACATCAATAGCAGCTTCCAGAGTGGAGCAAGCACTGTCAGAGGTTGCTTCATCTCTGCAAAGCAGTGCCCCTAAGCAAGGTCCCCTGCATCCTTGGATGACTCTGGCTCAAATATGGCTTCATGCAGGTACTGTGACAGTAAAATTTTTTCTTGTTCTTTTCCCTCCCCTTTCTTGCTAGCCTAAGGACTTGCAGAAATCTGTTGGTTTCATTCACAATCTGTTACCACTTATCAGATGAAACTTTTTCCAGGTTGGAAAAATATGTTTCTAAGATTATGGAATAGTTCCTGCAACTAGAAAAGCTTTAGCATTAAAAATAAATAACTCTGCATATGTGAAAAAGAAGGGTAGTAGTAGCAACCTGTCCCTTGCAGCTGTGATAATGAGCTCTCATTCAGTTCTCTTCCTTCTAGCTTCATTAATGTTAAAGACCCAGGATTGTTTTTCTAAATGTGGTCATCTTGAGTGGATTCAGTATTGTTATGATGCTTCAAGCCTCAGGCTAAATGCACTATCACAACTGACTGTTATATAAAATTTTAACCAGAAAATAGTGATCCAGTGTATTTTTACACAATTAAAAATTTATACCGTGCTGTTGTTTTTATTGATACTTGCATCAAAAAGGTGTAATTTAGAACTCAGTCAGCAATTGTTCTGCTCTGGTCCGCTCTCAGACTTGAGCATTTTTCAGTGACATAATTTTTTTTTTTTTTCTTCATGTTTACATTCAACAAATTGGTGTTGTATTTCTTAGCTGTTTTGCATTAGCAGTTTTATTGTGTGAAAGTCATTACAGGGCAATGACTCCCAGTTATTAATTAGTATTTTAAAGTAAAAGCCCAGAAGATTGGAAGGAAAGAGCAATGGTGGTGATTAATAATAGTGATCTCATTTGAGGGTGGAAGGGCTCCTCGAAAGCAATACAGATTAGTACAAGGCAAAGTCTGACAGGGCATAATGTAGTCACCTGCCCTTCATTTTGGCATCATTGATTTTAAATATTTATAAAACATCACAGCCAGCCATCTACAGGAACTCTTAACACCTATAATGCTGATTATTTCTCAGCCTTCTGTGACAGCCCATTGCACTGGATTATTTCCTGTTTTTTAATTTTTATTGGTTATGTCCTGTTGCTGCTTATCCAGTCCATGCAAGTGACTGCTACCGTTCTGCCCACAAAGGGAGGAGTCTGGACACTTTTTGTTGATTCCTTTTTAGTTCAGAACTTAGTCAGGTTTGCATACACATGGGTGGTCTGCTGCCGTAATGTGCTGCCCAGTCCACTTTCCACTCTTAAAAATACCTATCCCAGTAAGCATGGTCTGTAGGCCATATTCTTCATCGCAAACAGGAGGAAGCATGAGTGGGAAGCAGGAGGGAGTTGAGTTGGAGAATGAACTGAAGTGTTAAAGATCCAGGGGAGGGACACAACAGCATATGAAGAGTGCTTTGACTCTTTGTGGATGGCGAACAATGAAAGAAAAAAGCAAGAGGTGAGAGAGAGCTTCTGGCAGCCTGAAGTCTACTTCCTCTTGACTTCAGAATGATCCTGTTCTTGATACTTCAGGCTGGTGATCTGTGCTGCATTTCAGTGTTTTGGTATCCTGTTACTCTACTACTTGTCCTGCTACAGTAAATGCCCTGAGCCTTGAGAAAGGCTCTTTACTGTAGGAACATTCAGAATAAAGTTTCCTCCCAGAAACACAATACAAAGTAGATATTCTGAAAGGTATCTTCATCAGTATATATGGGTTACTTGCCTAGAAAACAGTGATAAAATTACTTAACGCCTTACAGAACACGTTCTTTAAATAAAAGTGAAGATTTACCATTGGGAAATTGCTTCTGATTTTAGACTCGTACCACATTTAACTGTTTGATTCCCTGTATGGTTGTGCAATGATTTACTTCGGGGGGAGTAGTGATTAATCACATCACTTCTGGTAGAAAAAAAGGAGAAGTTATTTTTAAAATAACACTGTAATAACTTAAACATAGAGGATTTATTCTGCTTTAAATTTAATACTTTAAGGAAGATCTGCTAGTAACTGTCAAGTTTCCCTTCTGCAGTTAGTAAGCAGGACAGCAAGATTTAGTTTCTCTTACAGTAGCTCAAGGCTAATTTATAAGAAGTATTGCAGCCTCTATTGGCTAGTGTTAAAAGCCATTGCTACCATAGTTGTTTCCCCTCAAGGAATATAGAATTTCAACTGTGGTCTGTTAAATTAGCCAATCTCTGCTTATTTTTCAATCTAGAATTATTGTGGTAGCAGATAATCACCTACTTCAGTCATTTTGACTTCTGCTTATTATTTGCTTTTAATTACAGCTTTTACTTAATACCTTTTACAGTCCATGTAAATTATATTTTTCCCAAATGTCTTTTCATCGAGCAACTTGGGAACATGTATTTAAAACTGTGTTTCAAGTCTGGTGATGCTGGAGAAGAGACAATAAAACCAGGAGAGCTCAAGTGGTTAGCATTTAAATAATGCAGTGTATTTTAAACTCACTAAAATCTTGTTTCTCATGTAGTAATATTGACCACATAGCCTTTAGAAAAGCACTCAAGAATGAAGTATCCAAAGCTTTTCCAAAATATTTTAGGTCTTTTTTAAAAAAAGCCCTCTCAGTACAATTCACACTTTATGCTCTATGTCTAGCTCTCAAATTATGGCTACAACTTGATCTTTGGACTCTATGAACAGTTAATAAAAGTAAATTCCCAGAAAAATTTAATTTCTCCCAAATTTATATTTTGATTTCAGAATTTTATCCCTTCATTATCTTCCAGATTTGCTATTCTTTAGTTAAACAGTACCATCTCTGACTAAGTGCGGTAGTTTTTTTAGGGGGGAAAAAGAAGTGTTGCTGGATCTGCAATTTCATGTGTTAGTCCTTCATGTGGATGAGACATTTTTTCCATCAAAAGGCATTTAATTAGTTTCTAAAAATAGGCTGCATTAATCCATACATCCACATGGACATACTATTTATGTTAGGTAGAATGTGTTCTGTGAAATCAGTGAGTCAACTGAGGAACAAAATAACACTGTTCTGGTTAAAAAAAAAAAAAAAAAAAGTCTGTTCTCCCATCAATAGGATCAGATCTTAGAGGAAGAACATAATTTACTCCAGCAACCCTACAAAAATCAGTTTAAAAAAAAAAAAAAAAGAGAATTAGTAGGACCTTTAAAATGTACTTACTTGCCAACTGCTACCGAAAGTCCATTTTTTGTTAGTCATTGTTATAAATTTGATTAAAATAATTATCAGTATTCGTAGCAGGTATCACCTGTAAGTTAAGGTTTATACACTCTGCTGCACTGAAGTTTACTAGTTAGGGATAAAATCTGTTTGATGCAATTATCTCAGAAGCAAGATCTCTTAAAGGCACTCAGACATTAGTCCCATTCAGAGTTTTAGGCATAATCCCAAACCCACAACTGTAGTGTGAGATCCTGATTTGACAGCCTTTAAACCAAGATGGGTGGCCTGTACTGTGCAGTGAGAAGCATGTCTTGAACGGCGATAGATCACTTTGCTGTTTTGATGGAGCACTTGGATTTAAACCTTAATCTATAAAATTCTTGTACGGTGTGATACAGTAGAATGCAGTTATACAGTTACGCTGAGGCTCAATGTTTTCAGTTTTCTAAGAAACAGGTAACCCAACTCAGAACCTTTCATATCTTTTTCTTGCATTTAGTATCTCTTTATTGCTCTCTACTCCCACTCTTTCAGCAAGAGTTTAAGATAATCCAGCAGCGTAGTGAAATAGCAGTGTTGGAGAGTGTTATGAGAGCTAATGAAGGCAAATGCTTTCTTTATTATTAGTTGTTAATCACTTTTTTCCCATATAGTCAATCTGTTTTAGACAAATGTATGTCAGGCTACTCAACTGCTTTCATCAGGAGTGATTTATGTAAAATTAAATATAGCTGCTGTTTTGTTTTTTTTTTTTTAAAAAAAAAGCTACAGAGTTAAATGTTCTTAGCATTTGGAGTATATCTTAGATAAAGTCCTTGAAAACATGAACAAATTTTGTCAGATCAGAAAGCTGATTAAGCATTTCACGTGTTCTGATAAATGAACTAGAAAACTTTTCATACCAAATAACATTCTATTTCTTTTAAAATGCTCTGAAGTTGGCAGTTTAGAACCAGGCTTGCCATTTATTGATTGGCACCTGGAGCAATTGCTACTGCTTCCTTAACAGCTGACATGTAAAAATCAGAAAATCCTGTAATTAGTTGTGTTCTCTTACCTACTGTAAGGATCTCTGTTTTGCGTTGGGTTTTCTGTTCCTAAGTAGTACTGGAATACTGGTGTGCTCACATCTTAAAAATAAAACTAAAATTAAAAAAAAAAAAAAAAAAAAAAAAAAAAAAAAAAACAGACATCAATTAAAAATAACAAACTATAAAGAGTCTACTGGTGTTTGAAACAGTTGCTTAGAGGTTCAAACTCCTATTGCATTTAGAAAAGCAACATTCCTAAAGGAATAATTAATTTAAAATAACTTACGTAATAATTTCTCTCAAACTGCAAAATTTTTTGAGGAAAATAGCCTCTCTTTAGAATGAAACTATTTACAAATACAGCACACATGACAACATCTAGTCATCATATGATGAAGCAAGAATCATTCACTGGTCCTCACATTCCTTCCACAGCTGAAGTCTACATAGGAATTGGGAAGCCTGCTGAGGCCACAGCGTGTACCCAGGAAGCAGCTAATCTCTTTCCGATGTCGCACTACGTCCTCTACATGAGGGGTCAGGTGGCTGAACTTCGTGGAAACATCGATGAAGCCAAACGCTGGTATGAAGAGGCCTTATCGATTAGTCCCACCCATGTGAAAAGCATGCAGAGGCTGGTGAGTCTTGAGTCCGCTTTCCTAAGGACTTTTGTCTCAATTTATGATATTGCACTGTGAAATCTTAACTTGGTGTGAGTAACTCATAGAATATGAGTTTTGGATCTACATTCTTCTTAACAAAATAGCTTTGGAAACAGTCTTTTCTGGCTTTTTATTCTCTCTTCTGTGTGTGTTGGACATGAAAGGAATCTGCAGGCAATAAGACTGTTTCAGACCTGACAGAAACTGCACAAAAAGCAGTTATTTGCATCTGGCTAACATTCAGTGCCATTGCGAAATAAAGGTGGCTCATGATAAGAGAAGAGTTGGGTGCTCTAGTCTAGAGGAAGGACCAGTCATTCTGCTAATTCCAAATTAAAAGATGATTACCTTCATGCTGTATGATTTCTTGGTTTTTTGAAAGGAATATGTAGCTTTAAGCACAAAAGTGCCTTCCCCAGCATAAATGCCTAAGTTTGTTTATAATGTTCATACATACATACGTGTTTATATTCTATATTCTGTGCTTACTATGTTAGGAAAATTACTTTATTTTTTTACTCCAGATAGAACAGAGTAGAACAGCTGCAGTCAGCTTCTTACACAATCTTTTTGTTCAGTAGTAGAAGCTGGTTTCTGCCTGGGTGCTTATGAATTATTCAGATAAATTTCTCGTGCATCCCTGAGGGGAACATATGAGACAAAAGATCAGATAGGAAGGCAGCACAAGGAAAGTTTTTTGTTTCACCTTTTCAACATTTCAAGATATTTGAGCCTACTGACAAGTGCCAAACGGTTCCTTTTTCTGAAGAAGCGAAGCAGCCAGTCGACCTAAAGCAGTGCAGCTCAGTGAAAATGAAAGCTTATGGTCTTTTGGGGTGTCTTTTTGCCTTTCCTCTGAATCCACCTTTGGATAAATAGTCTGTAAACACACAGTGCTTTTCAGAATGACTGAAAAATTAGCTGCCTTAAGAGTCATGTGAGATGAAAAATACTGTGTGTCCAATCCAGGTTCCCATTCTATGAGCTTTTCAGTTTGAGTGTAAGCTGGAGGATAACTATTAGTATCATTGGAATGGCCAGTCCTTTTTAAGCATTCGTTTAATTTAAAATTCTGTTTTTAAAAGCTTTCTCTATTATTCTAGCCTTTTTCTCTATTAAGATGTTGTTTTGAATAGATGCTGAGAGATTTATGCTGCTTAAATGCAAATATTAAAGATGTATGCTGTAAAAATATTTGTCTATGTAATTCCATGTGGGGAAAAAGTACAAGATTCTGTATCCTTCTTGATCTTTTGACTACTGCAGAAAGTATTTCAAGGAGGAAGTTTGCAGTGTTTACTCTTGCCTGTGTGTATAGTTGAATATCTGTACATCTCAACACTTTGTGTATATTTACCTATTTATTATAGAGAGGCATGCTCTCTGTGGCAGAGGAGCTATAGCAACAGCACTGTGGAGGTACCAGCCTCTATAACAACAGCTGAGCTGAAACATTAACTGGTAATATTTGTATTCACAATTCTAAGCTGACAATCAGTTTATGAACCAAAGTTCTGTGAAAAAATACTTTCTGTGATGAATTTGATATTTTAAAATTATTTGATATGGCTTTCTAGCAATGCTTAGCAATATAAAATGCTACTTTTTCAAGATAACAATTACCTTACAGCTTAGATTTATTTAATAAGCTTTACTGAATTTCTTTTTTGGGGGCAAATATCAAGTGTAAATCATAATAACTTTATATATAAAATGCAACAAAAAAGAAATAAGACTTAAGGATGGCTCAAGTTCTAGCATACATATCTAGCCCTGCCTCTCCGAGTAAAATTATGTGAAATAGTTGAACCTAAAATCAGTTTTGAAGGATTTTTTTCTTTTAATTAAAATTTTAGAATGAGTGACATCTGACACTCAGTAAAATTCCCTGATGATAGTGGTTTAGAAATCTGGATCTTTGATTTGAGATATTATTTGTAGTTGTCCAAAGAACAAAAACTAAATAAAATGCTAGTTTATATTTATATTTGAACAAGAGTGGCTTATTGGGAATAGGCAAGATTTCTCCTTTTATAATCCATCATTTTAACGATGATACATTGCTTTGGTAAAAAGGATGAAAAATGAAACTTTGAAGCTTTACTATTTTTCCATACTGCTTTTTGTCCATAACTCACTTTAAGTACATATCCGTGAATATGATCTATTGGTTCTACAAAGAAAGAACCTTATTAATATAAATTACTGAAGAAATGTGTGAAGAAAGACTAGAAAGTCTAGTCTTGTGTCTTGAGAACTGATGTGCTTACTCCTGTGAGTTGCGGCATGTCCTGTGCTTTGGAGTTTCTGCATGAAGACTCTTGCATTTGTCTGAAGTGCAGACTCCATATTCTGTTAATGTGGCCGTGAAGACATGCTCTGTGCAGAAGTCTAATGTATTATCTGAGTGCAGTTACCTTTTATTGTTTGGTACGATCCGTTAAAAGACTTCATTTGTCTAAAACCACGATTTTCTAAAGAAATGAGTTATTAATTATGCTGCTGTCTCAAAGGTCTTCACCGATTTACTCCTGTTTTAAAGATTTACTGAAATGAAAAACAGGAAGACTTGGCAATAGTGTGAAAATTGGAGCAGTTAAGAGTGATGGAAGAAATCTGTTCACCAACAAAATGATAAATGGGAGCATTTGGAGGGAGAGGCTAGCTGCTGCTGTATTTGCTTTAGTAATGAAATGCCTAAGACAACATGACAGCAGACAGTGGTGGCTTGATCCATGAATAAATGACAAATTGTTTAGCTGTATTCTGCTTAATTAAATTCCTTGGGAAATGGAACTAATTGTGTCATACTGTTACATTACCTAAGATGTGAGATATTCTGAGACACACACACCTGGCTGCAGAGGGCAGTGTGTTTGTATTTGTGCTCACTGCTATTTCAGTGCCTTCTAAAATGTTGGGGTTTTATATTAATTAAATCAGCTGAACAATGAAACTAGTGCTTTCAAAGAGAAATGCTGTTAAAATTCTCTTTAGTTGTATGTGCAACTAAATTATTCCTCATACAGTTAGTGTGTAAATCCATACATCCATTCACTGTATTCTGTTAAGCAATTCTCATTTTAAGATCTACCTTGTTCTCCGGTGCTGTTTTTCACCATTTGTCGCTAACTGAAATTTTCTCCGAGGCCGGGGTTATAGCGGCTTGCTATTTGGCTAGCTCTGCTCACAAGATGTCAAGGGTGAAGCAGCACCATGTCGGTATCAATTAGGTGTTCTTCACCGAGTGCAGCAGTAATGCTTCTGAACAAATGCAGTGTCCTTTCTTGTTTTCAAGGGTTGTGTAGCGCACTCGGGGAAAACAACGCAAAGCTGTGTTCTAAAGGTTTGAAATACTTCAGTTTGTGTTCTGTATTTCAAAATGCTTTTTATCACACCCAATGAAATTCAGACTTTTCTTTACTAAATTGAAAAATGATGATTCGAACTTCAATTGAATGTCACGTATACTTGGTTGTCACCTGCCTAATGTTGGCCAGAATGGATTTATTTAAACAACTTTCTCTGTTCTCCCTACCCTTTATCATCACCTCCAGATTTCTGCATTACTGCTGCCTTCCTGCTTTTGTCATTGTTTTCCTCCCCTTTGAAAAAAGAATAAACAGTCTTTTATCTCCTACAGTCAGAGTGCTGTTGTGGAAAGTAGCCCTTACTGCTGACGTCTGAAAAGTCCTGAAATGGGCCACCATTCAGTAATGCCTGAAATGGCAATGAATATTTCAACCCATTGTCCAGGAAACAAATCTGTGTATTCTCTCTCAGGCTGAAAATTTCCTAGCTAACTGTAGCTTTGACATTAAATAGTTTTTCCAGCATCTCTATATCATTATAATCCTAGAAGTCTCAATTATTTTTTTAATATTAAGTAATTCATCATAGGTCTTGCCAGTTAATCCTATTAGTAGCTTAGCTTCTAAGTGTAGAAGACTAAAACAGAAAGGGAGAAATTAGTTATCCAAAATTACTCATGTAGAAATTAGTTTTCAAAAAGCATTATTTTGAAGAATTACATTCCCCACTCCACACTTAGATATCTGTTAAATTTTCCTATAACTATGCAGAACTAAGATCAGTTAAGGCGTATATTAACTATGTGTGCTTAACCTCTCAGTTATAAATACAGTGTTATTTATTTCTAACTACATTGACTTCCTACATTTTTTTGCAACCCAAAGACACTTTGCCAGAAGGAGGCCTGGCAGTACATATGGGTAGTGTGTGCTGATGAGCCTGACAATGATGTTGAGCTGACTGAAAGAAAGGAAAAGCAGAGAAGATTTTAGAAATGTGAGTTCAGACCCTGTTTGAAGGGGTCAGGGAAGTTAAAGAACAGAAAGACTAAACACAGTCACCCAAACTACCTTTTTTCTTTTGGTGAGGCAGTATTCTCTAGTATTTATTCTTCCTTTCATAACAAGGACCTCATCTGTGGAACATGCTCTATAGCTCATTTCATTTTCATTGTCAGGCCAGTATACTGTAGAAGTTGTTGGTCTAGGCCACGTAGGCTTGTCCTAAGCATGTTATGCAGGTTCTTTCTTGTAGGTGGTTTGTGTTGTAACAGATTACCATAGAGCTAAATGCTAATGCCAATCCCAGAGCTCATCTGGCTCGCGCTCTAAGTGCATCCGTATGCACACAGGGGCTAAAGAAGAATGGAGAAATAATAGTAATTGGTTTTGTTAGATTTATTGGTAAAATACTGTGGATTTGCCCTTCAGAAACTTCAAGGTTATTTCATAGAAAGTAGGGAAGGCAAAATGTACGTTCAAAACTCACTGCTCCTTATAGAAGGCATTTTACTGTGATTAGCCCACTGTCACATCTAAACATTTCAAGCAGTCGTATTCTGCAGTCTGAGAAAACAGTGGTAGTTCTACTTGCATTTTAACCTGGAACATGCCCTTTGAGTTCAAGTGACTCAGGAACCATTTCAATACACTTCAAATTCTTTA